CCTCCTCCTCCTCTTCATCCTCCCCCCTCCTCCCCCCCTCCTCCTCCTCCTCCTCCTCCTCCCTCCTCCTCCTCCTCCTCCTCCTCCTCCTCCTCCTCCTCCTCCTCCTCCTCCTCCTCCTCCTCCTCCTCCCTCCTCCTCCCTCTCCCCCCTCCTCCTCCCTCTCCCCCCTCCTCCTCCCCTCTCCTCCTCCTCCTCCTCCTCCTCCTCCTCCTTCTCCTCCTCCTCCTCCTCCTCCTCCTCCTCCTTTCCCCCTTTTCCTCCTCCTCCTCCTCCTCCTCCTCCTCCTCCTCCCCCTCCTCCTCCTCCTCCTCCTCCTCCTCCTCCCTCCTCCTTCTCCTCCTCCTCCTCCTCCTCCCTCCCTCTTTATCCTCCTCTTCCTCCTCCGCCTCCTCCTCCTGGTTTGTTGAGGAGGGGAGAGAGGGACCTGTACTAGGGAGGAGAAGGATCAGCAGAGGCAGGACCAGGAGCAGAAGAGGGAGCGGGAGCATGTGGAGCAGCATCGGAGTTTGGCGCGGCAGCATGAGCAGCACGAGGCGCCGGGGAATCACAGGATGAGCCAGTCGAGCAAGGCGAGGACCCGCGCGCCAGGGAGGGGGGTCGGCCCCGAGCCGATGCGAGAGACCCGCGCAGCCCTCCGAGCAGTGAGGTTCACGCCATGGCCCCGTCTGCCGCTCGAGCTGGGGGCGGAGCCGCAGCGTGCGTCGTCGGCCTGCGCCCCCTCGGTTGGGCTTCTGCGGGCCCGCTCAGAGAGCCTCTGCCCGCCCCGGCGCTCGTGCTGCGAGCGCGAGCCAGCAGGGCCAGCCTCCTCGCCCCCCCTCCTCCTCCTGCTCCCCTCGGTGTCGGTCCTCCTCCCCCTCCCCCTCCTTTTGCGTGCCGCCTCACCTCGTCCTCGTCCTCCCCCCTCGATTGGTGCGGACTCGCCTCGCGTCGGAGCGTGCGGGTGCCGCTCCGGGCGAGCCGCACGGCTGATCGCAGGCCTGGAGGTGGATCTCCCAGGGCAACGAGTTCACCATCCAGCCCGCTCCCGAGGAGGAGTTTTTCGGCGAGCAGAGCGGCACGAAGCTGATCCTGCACCTCCGCGAGGAGGCCCAGGACGCAGGGGGAGGGGGGCGGCCAGGGAGGGGGGGGGGCAGGGCTCGTTTCGATTCCTCCGTTTCGATTCGATTCGATTCGATGTCGATGGCTTCCGAATCCGATTCGATTCGACTTCGGAGTCCAATTTGGATTCCGTTTTCCCCATGATGCTTACCTATCCTGCCGATTTCAGCCGATTCGACTCCTTCCGACTTGGCTGCCGATTTCCGCCGATCCGATTCATTTCGATCCCCGATTCGACTTATCGATTCGATTTTGGGCTCTCCAGGGGGAGGGAAAGGGTGGTTCGGCTTGTCGAAGCGCCGATGGGGCGTCCCAAATCCGCCCAGAATTCGCTTGACCCGACTTACATGTGACACAAGGGCGATGGCCACCCCAACGCTGCGCGCGAAGCGTGGGGCGCGAAGTTAGCCAGGCGGCCGGGTCCTCTCTGAGGTGTGATTCCATAGGAATAGCAGTTGCAGATACCATTGGTTGTCCTGGAGAGCCTTCGTTCGGACGGAGCTAGGACGAGGATAAATCCTTTCCAGAGCGTTCCGGAACGCTCTCAGAGTGTTCCGGAACGCTCTGAAAAGGCCGCGGCGCTCGAGACCTCCTCCAGATCCGCCAGATCTCAGAGATTTCCGATGGATTCTCGTTCGATGTTATCCTCGTCCTGGCTTTGTCTTACTCGTCGCCACTGCCAGGCTTTCCTCGAAATCCTGGCCGGAGCGCGCCCATGATCCCGAGGGAGAAGGAGCAGGAGCAGGAGCAGGAGGAGGAGGAGGAGGAGGAGGAGGAGGATGAAGAGGAGGAGGAGGAGCAGAGGAGGAGGAGGAGGAGGAGGAGGTGGAGGAGGAAGAGGAGGATTAGGAGGAGGAGGAAGAGGAGGAGATGGAGGAGGAGGAGGAGGAGGTGGAGAAGGAAGAGGAGGATGAGGAGGAGGAGGAAGGAGGAGGGGGAATGCCCCTGCTGGCGCCCCAGCTGCCGGAGGGGCCTGGCGCGGGGGGGCCCTGAGGCGTGGGGCGGGGCGGCCGCGGGAGCTCTCTCGATCTGCGGTCCCCGGGGCAGCCGCAGCGGGAGGCAGCCGTCGCAGGCGAGCTCTTCCCCTCCAGGGGGATTTTCGAAGAAAAAAACACCAAAAACTCGGAGGTCCGCGCGGATTTCTCGGATCCGCGCTGGACCCCCTGGCGGCGCCTCGGGCGCCGCCCCTGGCGCGCTCCGCGCGCCAGGGAGGGGGGTCCAGCGCCGATCCGAGAAATCCGCGCGGACCTCTGAGATTTTTGATGTTTATGTAATGTTCCGTTCCCCTTCAAATGTCAGAGAAGTAAAAAATGCCCCAAGAAGGTCAAACAGTATTGAAACAGTCCCCAGACCATGTTTGGACTATTTATTGAGCATTTTGAGGGTATGTTTTATTCTTCGTCGAAAATCCCCCTGTAGGACGACACGCCCGACTTAACCTAAGCCCCGAGTGCCGCCTGGAAATCACGAGGGGAACATCTCTTGGGCCTCCCAGAGGAGGTCGGAGCAGGTGAGGTCGCAGAGTCGCGCCGCATGGTCGATGCACTGCCGATGCGGCTCGGTGTGGAGCCCGATTTGCGCCACGTCGACGTCTCCGATGCATCGCCCACGTCGACGATGCGTCGCCAGTGCATCGCCGATGCATCGCCGATGCATCGCTGATGCATCGCCGTTGCATTGGCGATGCGGCGTGATCCTCCGACCCCAGCTACTTCGACCCCATCTAGGAGACCTCTAGTCCCCGAGTTCTGCCCGAAAATCAGGAGGGGCGAGAACAGACACCCACAATGAATCGTCGACTGCCAAAAAAGAAATGGGGGAAAATTATGGTAAGGTGGGGGGTGGGAGACGAAAGCCCAGAAAACATTTGGAAACTGTGGGGGGTCCTGGGATCTGTGCTCCTTTGCCTGTGTGTGTCCCTGGGCCCCTCTACGGAAGTCGGGCCGCCCAGAGCCAAGGGGGAAAGGTGGGAAGCCTTGGGCTCGGGGATGCACCCCCACGGGGGCCATCCCCGGAAGCACCCCTTGCCGAGGCGGCTGGACGCCCCCCCCCCCCCCCCGGCATCGCTCGGACGTGTGCCATTGACGACGATCCTGGACCATCGAGCGAAAAAAACACGTACGAAACGGAAAAATGCACGGGAAATCACCAGCAATAATTTTTCGAGCACCAAGATCGCCTCGATCAATGAATTTCGAGAATCTCGAGCCTCCAGCCTACTTTGGCCTCGGTCACCAGATCGTGTATTCCAGGGTTGGGCCCAAGAGCTTCTCCCGTCCATTCACAGAGCTCCCAACGCCTGGGATCGGGGTCGACATACGGCAGAGGGAAACAACTGGTGGTCACTCCCCCGCTCCCCCCAAGCCCAAAGTTGGCACGCGCGGGGAAGACTGCGGCCGAAGCGCAGCTCGCTCGACCCACCGCCAACATCGATCATTGGGGTCGGGGGCGGACAGAACCCCCAACAGTGACACGTCGATTAGTGAATTGTCTGTTTTCGGCTCTCGAGAGGGCGCTGTGGCCGTCATTTTCCAGGCTTGCGCCCGCCAGGTTTGGGCATCAGGTCGTTTTCACTAAACCACGTTGTACTAAAGGGGGTCTGTCCATCCCCGATGGGGGGGGGCATTGGCAGGTGAATGCGGCACGAGTATTCGCTTCATGACTTCCTTGGCCTGTGCCCCCTGCTCGAGGCAGCGTGGGCAGGGACGGACCATCGCACTCCCGCCAGCCAGAGGGCTCCCGGGAGGTCCCTCGGCGGGCGAGGGGGGCCAGGAGCGTCCGCGGGTCTCGTCCGAAGTCGGGCCGGTCCCTCGACAGGAGGAATATCCAAACATATATCAGAAATAGTATGTATGGGGACGATGTTTGGTGATGTTTGAACACGTGTAAGTATTTTCGAACAGTTTTTTCTTAACTAGTCGTCCAAAATGCCCCTGTAGGGGGACATGCCCGAACTAAGCCTCGTCCCTGAACCCACTCTCGCCGGGTCCCTGCAGGAGTACTTGGACACGGGGAAGTTGTCCGACCTGCTGAAGAAGTACAGCGAGTTCATCACGTTCCCGATCGAGTTGTGGAACGAGAAGGTCCAGTACGACCAGGTGCCAGACGAGTCCGCCCCGCCTCCGAAGGACGTCGTCGCCGTCGTTGTCGTCGTCGGACACCCTCCAGGAGGTGCGAGGAAGAGAGGAGGAGGAGGAGGAGGAGGAGGAGGAGGAGGAGGAGGAGGAGGAGGAGGAGGGAGAGTCGAGTGTCGAGGTCTTTGGGTGGTTTGTTGGCCCTTTGGGGGCCTCCTGGATCGCCCTGCCGATTTTCACGCCTGGCGGCACATCCGCGCAACAATCCCCCCTCACCAAAGATATCCTCCCTGATTGCATTGCACTTGCTACTGTCTTCGCAGTTGTTCGCTTGTGGGTCTCATTCTACTGAATGCCAGAGAGACGCAGCATTGTAAGGAGAAGGAAGAAAGCGAGAGGGAGGGAGCTCCTCTTCATCGTTTCTCCTCTTCTTCCCCTCCGCACTCGCTCTCTTCCCACTCCTCCTCCTCCATCCTGTGGCGTGCAGGAGGCTGACTGACTGCGCTTGAGGAGTGGTGGAGGAGGAGGAAGAGGAGGAGGAGGAGGAGGAGGAGAAGGGGGATGAGGAGGAGGGAGGAGGAGGGGAGAAGGAGGAGGAGGAGGAGGAGGGGGAGGAGGAGGAGGAGGAAACGGAGGAGAAAGGAGGAGTTCTCTATATGGGGTTGTGGATATCCCTGACTAATTCTGGGAATTCCCCAGATCTGAGGCCGCCCCGTCCTGATGTCCAGGATGATCGGCTCCCCAGGCGTTGGACACGCACATGGAGGGAGGAGCACGACGACGACAAAGACGACGATGTCGACGGAGGAGGGCGAGAAGCCGAAGATGAAGAGCGTCCCGCGCTCGGTCTACGAGTGGGAGGTCATGAACAAGATGAAGCCCATCTGGCTGCGCAATCCGGAGGTGACATGGCCCATCCCGATGCGAGCGGTCCGACCCGACGTCGAGTTCGCTTGCCTCGATCTTGATCTCGATTTGGTTCCGCTTCTGTCCCGATGTTCTGGCTGCGCATCTCGGAGGGGAGAGAACCATGATTGCTTTGCCCCTTACAGTGGAGACACCTGCCAAGAAACGCCCTGCTTGCCTCCGGTGCGCCCTGGGTTTCTTGGGTTTCGATGCTTTTGCCATGGAAGGCGTGACGCCCCCCAAACCAAAAATCCATGGAGCTGGGTTTGTTGTGGAAGGTTTCTTGTGGTCGGGCTCCTCCTGTACAGTCAAGACGCGAAAACCCGCACCAACGTGGGCTCGGGAGGACTCAGGTGTTCGGGCTGTTCCCTCCGCACAGGAAGGATGGGCAACCTTCCCAAGGGTACCCTTGCTCGGCGGCGAGCGAGGGGGGGAAAGGAAGAGGAGAAGGCCCTCTCAGAAGGCGGCGGGACTTCTCAGAAGCCCCCGCGCCTTCCGAGAAGTTTTTTGGCTTGTCTTCTGGGAGAGCGTCGAAACCTTCTCAGGAGGCCCGTGGACTTCCGAGCCTTCTGAGAAGGCCCGCCCCTCTCGCTGCCCCCGCTCGCTCGCCGCCGACCTGCCTCCTGCTCCTCGGCCCGCCGTAGGTCGCCTCCCTTGGCCGCGCCCCGCTCGAGAAGCTTCGGACTGGGCTTCTGTCGAGCGTGTCCCCCTACAGGGGGATTCTCGACGAAAAACAACAGATACCCCAAGAATACTCCAAGAAGGTCAAAAACTATTCAAAAAATAGTCCCCAGGCTATGTTTGGATTATTTTTTGTTTTTTTTTCTGGGGTATTGTTGTTCGTCGAAAATCCCCCTGTAGGGGGACAGGCCCGACTTAAGACTGGGCGTTCAAGGACCCTGCATCCTCATCGCGCATCCTCGTGTCGGGGGTAGACAGAACCCCCACCCTGACGCGTCGATTAGTGAATCGTCCGTTTTCGGCTCTCGAGGGGGCGCCGCGGCCGTCATGTTCCAGGCTTGCGCCCGCCAGGTTTGGGCCCGAGGTCGCTTTCACTGAACCACGTTTTGCTACAGGGGCCTCTGTCCATCCCCGATCATGATACGGGCCGAGGGTGCAGTCAGAACGCGGCAACCAGCACCGGCTCGGGCTCCGGAGGGCTGGTCTGGACGCCCGAAATGGGTACGGAAAGAATGGGTACGATGCCCAACAGCAGTTCCTGTTCATTTTGAACAGGTCTCGCTGTCCGCGCCGCCGCGGCCTGTGTCCATTTGAGACAGGAGGCCGCCCGCCCAACAGCGGCCGCCGTTGGTTTGGGACAACATTTGCTGTTGGGCATTGTACCCATGTTTTCGGTACCCATTTCGGGCGTCCAAAGCTGGGTGTCGGGGCCGTTCCCTGCATCCGGTTAGGGGGGGGGCCGTTCGCGGCCGGGGCTCGGCGTGGTCGGAAGAAGAAGCACTTGGTACGACGGCTACACCCAGAAAGAGATGGGGCGTCGGGCCACCGCCCACCAAACCACTCCAACCCAACCCGAAGGCCCCAATTTGCCCTCCATTTCCAGTTGGGGGGGGGTCGGGGAACGTTGAGAAAACACACATGAAGCCCGTACCCCCCCCAGCCCGAAATTCGGGTCTTCGGGTTGGGTTGGGGTGGTTTGGTAGGTAGTCAGTCGGGCCACCAGCGGAGAGATCGTCGACGGATCCCGAGGTCCTGTCGCTGCACTTGTGTTAACTCTGGGCGTTTTCGCCCACATTCGGGCCCCAGGACCCTCACAGATCGATCCGGCTCGACAAATTGATAAGTACAGAAAAATGGGGTCCGGGACTCCGGGCGTGATTTTTCGCGATGTTGCAATTCTGTCGCAATGTCGGATCTCAAGGGGCGTTAACAGTTTCTGCCTGTGTGTCTTCCGAAGGGCCTCCAGAGGTGGTGAACCAGTCCGAGTACACCGAGTTCTACAAGACCACCTTCAAGGCGTTCGACGAGCCCTTGTCGACGACGCACTTCAAGGTCGAGGGCACGTGTGGCACGCGTGCCAAGTTGAAGTCGGGCGTGCCCCTCTGCAGGAGGAATGTTCAACCGTATTCCAAAAATAGTCAGAGGACGATCTTTCCAGCATCTGTTGCTTATTTTGTGGCACTGCTTAATGTCTTATTGTTTCGTCCAAGATCCGCCTGTCAGAGGACATGCCCGACCTACTACCCTCGTCAAAATTAACCTCAAAAGTTGCTGGCACGTCATTTCGATTTCGGCGCGCCCCTCAATGTCGACACGCCGCCCCTTCAACTGTCGGGGCGAGGGCAAAGACAGTCTGACCGAAGTTGACTCGAAAGTCTGACGTCGACCGACATCGGAGGGGCGGCGCATGCAAGTACCCCGCACTCATGGATACTCGGCCCCAGATCTTCGAACAAGCAGTTCAACCACGTCAGGCATTTTCGAGGTTGATTTTGACGAGGGTTGCAGTGCCGAGCGTGGCGCGCGTGGCACGTGTGTGGCGCGCGCGCGCCCCCGGCCCGGGCCCGCCTCCCGTGGGGGGGGGGGGGCGGGGGGCCGGTCTCTGCCGCGGAGCTTCCGGGGACGCGGGCTGCGGCCGGCGTGGCCCCGCGGCGGGAGCAGAGTGCAGTCGGGCAGTGTCCCTCTGAGAGGGACACGCCCGACTGAGCTCTGACGGCTTGTTCCACCCGTGGAGAGTCTCCACAGGTGGAACAGGTCGTCAGGGAACAGTTGTTGCATTGTTTTTGAGCATTCGGGGGATCGTTGGGAGTATTTGTCACTTCCTTCCAAAATCCCGCCTGTAGGCGGACAACTCCCGACCTACGGCCAGAGTCCTTCAACCTCGGGCAGAACCTACCCACAGAAACCAATTTTGAAACGAAAGGTCGAGGGCCAGATCGAGTTCCGGGCGCTCATGTTCATCCCAGCCACTATGCCTTTTGAGTTGACGCGGGACATGTTCTCGGAGGGAGGCCGCGCCATGCGGCTGTACGTAAGCGCGTGTTCATCAATGACAAGTTCGAGGATCTGATCCCCCGCTGGCTGACCTTCGTCAGGGGCGTCGTGGACTCGGAGGACACACGGTAGAGGGAAACAATTATTGAACTCTCCCCCTCCCCCCAAACCCAAAGCTGGCACGCGCGGGGGAGATTGCGGTCGAGGTGCCACTCGTCAGACCCACCGCCAATGTTTCAAACATTGGGGGGCGGGGGAGGCGTTGACAGATGAATGTGGCATGAGTGCTCGCTGTTCGTTGATGAATCATTAAGTTGCTTCTGCATCAGAAAAATCGTCAGGAGCATGCCTTCGCAGTGCCTCCGCGTCGGTCGCCTCTTCACCGCCGCGCCTCGTGGCCTGCCCCGTGGCCTCGCAGCGCCCGGCGCGCCGGCGCGCGCCAGGCCCCCGTGTTGCCTCGGAGCGTGTTCCGCTGGCCGGCATCGCTTCCGGCCGCAGAAGGTCAAGCAGTGGCGAAGCGTCCCGGCTCGCCTATATCGGGAGCGGAAAAGAGGGGGGTGATGACTAGGGGGGGGTGGATTTCATGGCGCGGGTCATGATTTTTCCTCAGATTTCATGGCGCCTCTTCTTATTTCATTATGTCCCAGGCCCCCCCGCTGGGCCGCGCACATGCCGCCGGTCATGATTTGCACCCCCCCTCTTGGACACCCCCCTCTTGGCCGCTCCCGACTATGGCCCCACCAAGCAATGTTCTACGAACCTTTTTTGTGGCTCCCACGGAATATTCTTAGATCATTTCTGGCCGGGACTGTCCTGTTTTATCCCGTCGGGTTTATGTCCTAAGAAGATTGTTTTTGATCTTGGAACATTTTTGGGTTCTAGGAACATGTCGTGGTAGGACTATAGGAATGCCGGGACGGTCGGTCCCTGCTCAAGAAGGGGGCAAGCCTCAGGCCCTGGTGGGCTTGGCGCCCGTCATCCAAAAATCAAGCGCCTCGACAGAGCTGCATCTGGCAATTGCCGCCGGCCATGCGAGCACAGAAAGATTGACTGCCACCCCGCGAAACTTTCGATGCGGCCGACTCGCGGGAACGAACTCCACGGCTTCTGCGTCTCGCGTCCCGCGGGCCGCGATCAAGGTGGGTCGGCGCACACCGGCGGCAACATGTGCACACAAGGAGGTACGGAAGAGCATTCTGCTTCTTCCTGGCAGCACTCGCCTCCAGCGCCTGTCACGTGTCAGCGCAGTGCTGTTCTCTCGACACGCTGCCCTGCCACTCTGCTGCGCCGGCGCTCCTTGTGTTCTCTGCCGGCGTCTCTCGTCGCTACACGCTTGCGCGGCTTGCCGCCGCGCGCGAGTTCGTAGGTTCTGGCAGAAGCCTCCGGCGCACGACGCTCTCCCATGGCTCGGAGCAAGGAGCTGAGCATGGCCGCTGCGTGTCGTTACTTGTCACACCCTCGCCACCCTGTTGGGCTTTCGCTAGCGCCTTGTCCTGGCTGGGCGCCTCGGATGTGTATCCAGAAGACTCCAGCCAGGCAGCGCTCATTACGGGCCCCTTGCTGGCGCAAGGGCGCTGGCTATTCTCCAGCGAGGGCGAGGACGACGCCATGGGTTTCCCGAGGCCTGTATCCGTTCAATTAGGACGATGAACGAAAGGAGTTGAGCAGCTCCGGCCCCCGAGGGCCAGTCGTCCCATTTTGTTGCTCGCCCGCTTGCTGGGGTGAGCTCGCCCGCTGTCGCGTGTGAGCAGCTCGAGGGGTCCAGACTTGCTCGCCCTCTTTGTTCGCCGAGCTCCCTCATCCTGGCTTCTCCTGTCTCCTCCCTGGCATTCGCATCCCCTCCTCCTGGCTCCACCACCTCTCTCTCCCACCGCCGCATCCCATTCTCCTCCCCGCGCCCCCCCCATGCTCCACCTTCCCCTGCTTCCTCCTCTCCTGCCTACTTCTTCTGTCCTTCCTCCATCCATCTCCACCCCAGCCCTTTCTCCCCTCACCATCCCTCTTCCCTCCTCCCTGCATCCCTCCCTCCTCTTGCCTATCCTCCCCTCTGAGTGCCCAGTTCGCTCAAGCGTTGTGTCGCGGGCACCCTCGGGTCGTCGCCGCTTCGCCGATGCCGGGTGCGCAGCCGAGTGCAGAGCTCCGCGGCGCCGTCGAGGCCGCGCGCGGAGCTCTCCTCGCGGCCCACGCCGCCTCTGGCCTCGCGGCTCGGCGGCTCCCGTCGGGGACCCGCCTGCTGCGCGCTGCGGAGGGGCTGCTCCGCGCCGCCGTGGCCCCATTTGATCGGCCCCGCGGCGGAGCGGCCCGCGCCGCAGGAGGCGGACGCGCTGGCAGCCCCCTGCCCCGCGCAGGCCGCCCTCGGCGGCGGCGGCGCGGGCGCGGCGGGGCGGCGGCCGAGGGGGCCCCACTGGCAGCGAGGAGGTCGTGGACACCGAGATGGCGGCGGATGACGGGGACGGCCCCAGGCCGCGGCGGCGGCGTCGTCGCCGCGCGCGGCCTGCCCCCGCTCCTGCCCAACCCGATGCTGCTGCGGCTGCGCCCGCTGTCGAGAAGGCGGGGGCCGTGGCGGACCTGGACGAGGAGTGGGCCGACGCCCTCCCGATCCGCCGTGGCCGCGGCGTGGCGGAGGCTGCGGCGCTTGGTCGTCCTGGTGGCGCCGCTGGCGCGGGCGGCGGGCACGCCGAGGGCGAGGCAGCACACGCGTCGGAGCCGCGGCGGGCGCGCTTCGGTCGGCCGCGGGAGGCGCCGGCGGCGCGGCGCGGCCTCCTCGCCCGCCGCGGAGCTCGAGGCCCTCCAGGGAGCGCGGCGGAGGCGCAGCGGGCCGCGCTCTCCCCCCGAGGGCCCCGCGGTGGCCCAAAGTAGCCCGCAGGGTCCTGTCGAGGCGCCCCGTGCATGCAGGCCGCTCGATCGAGGTCCTCCTCCTCCTCCTCCTCCTCCTCCTCCTCCTCCTCCTCCTCCTCCTCCCCCACTTCTCATCGTCCTCCTCCTCCTCGTCCTCCTCCTCATCCTCCTCCTCATCCTCCTCCACCTCCTCCTCGTCCCTCGTGTGCCCGCGCCGGCTGCCTGCGCCAGCGGCGACAAGGCTGCCCCTCGACGTCTGAGCTCCGCGGGGTCTCGGTCGGAGGTGGCCGGCTCGAGGTGCTCCTCGCTTCGGCCCCCTCCCGTTCCTGCAGGGCTCGGCTGGGGGTGCTGGACTCGGAGCCTGTCCTCCACCCTGCCTCCTCCCGGGGTCTCTGGAGGTCTCGTGGTTCCTGGAGCCTACTGGAGGCGTCCGTATGAAGTCTCCCTGGATACTTGCAGGGGTATCAGAACACGGAACCACTTAAAGGCACACACGCACACACCACACGCACATAAACACATGAACGCACACACACACACATGCACACACACACACATACACACATACACACATACACACACATCGATGTCCTCCCTTCTTCCTCCTCCTCCTACCTCTCCTCTCGTTTTTCTTTTGTTTCCTTCTCCGCCTCTCCCATTTCCCCCCTTCCCCCCCCCCCCGCTTCTCATCCGTTCTCGCTCCGTTCTCCCCCTCGCCCTGTCTCTTCAGGGGCAACGTGAGGGGGGACAGGCTCAGAGGGGGATGTTTCGACCCCCGATCGTCCATTCGCCGCCCATCGGGGGCCCGATGCCCCACCCTGCAGAGGATCGGCCATCGGGCCACATCGCCGACCGATCGGCGATGCATCGGCGATTCCAGCTCGGTGTTCCTGCCCTGTCGTTCCTCCGCGTAGCTTCCCTCCTCCCTCTTCTCTGTCCCCGCCGTCCTGGCCGCCGGGCGGCCAGACTCGCAGAGGACCTGCCCCTCAACGTGGGCCGAGAGATCCTGCAGAAGAGCCGGACGCTGAAGATCATTCGGAAGCGCCTCGTGAGGAAGGTTCCGAGGGCGGCGGAGAAGAATAACACGTTTAAGCACAGATGTTCGAGAGGGAGAGAGGGAGATGATGGGCCTGTTTTCCACCACCACCACCACCATACGTTGGAGGGGGGAAGGAGGAGGAGGAGGAGGAGGAGGAGGAGGAGGAGGAGGAGGACCCTCTCCCTCTCCAAGGTATGGTGGTGGTGGTGGAAAAGAAACCCATCAGGAGAGGCCAGTATCCTTCGGCCCACCCCGCCACTGTGCCCGTGTTGCAGGTCACAGGCCTCGTTGATGCCTGTGGGACTGTCTGGGGAGGCCCTTTTTGCCAGCCTCCGGGAGGCGATCTATTGGGGTTGTCTCGGGGTCTCTCGTGGGCGTCTTCGGGACGAGGGGGAGGGAGGAGGAGGGGGTGCGCGTGTTTGAAACTGTTGTGATTTTCATGCCACTCTTGCTTCCTTCCGCCCTCTTCCCCCTCCTCCTGAGATGTCGGCAGCCTTGCTACCCCCTCTACCGTCTCCTCCTGTCCTCCTCCTGTCTTTGTTCGTTCATCCTCCATCATCCTTCATCCCTCTCTGGTGCTGGTCATTATCCTTCCTCCATCCTCCCTCATCGGTGGTCCCATCACGCCCCCCTCACTTGTTCTTAATCTCGTTATTATGGTTTGCCGCTTTTTTTTGGCATCCGCATATCTATCCCTTCAGACATCGGCGGCACCCCGCCTCCCTCCCCCCCTCCCTCCAAGCTACTCCGTCCCAGGTGCTGGATTCGATCGACGACCTGCGCGAGCAGAAGCGCGACAAGTACGACCAGTTCTGGAGCAACTACGGCAAATACTTCAAGGTCGGCCTCGTGGAGGACCCGCTGCCGTCGTCGTCGTCGTCGTTGTCGGCGTCGTCGACCTCGCCCTTCTGCCACTGTCTCCTGGCACCGCTGCTCCTCCATGGTGGTCCGCCCCTCCTCCTCGCGGCTTATCACCTCATTCGCCCGCCTCTTCCTCCTCCATCCCGCTGCTCCTTCGCCTCTCCCTCCTGCCACTCTTGTTCCTTCCTCCGTATCCTTTCCCTTTTGTTTTCCCAGAAAGTTTCGTGGCAAAGTCCATTGCTGGGTCCAGTTGGGCTGGATCTTCCCCTTTAAATCTGAGGGGGACGCGGGACCCAGACAATGATTGCGGGATTTGACAGGCGAGTTTTGCCCAGCTTGGGCGGTAAGACGAAACAGGATAACATTGTTCTTGAGCTGCTGTGGCGCCAGGGACATTCGTCCCCGACGGGCGCATCAGCATCGTCGTCATTATCATCATCACCATCAGCAGCATCATCATGATGATGGTGATCATCATCATCATCATCATCATCATCATCAGCATCATCATCATCATCATCATCATCATCTCAATCATCATCATAACCATCATCATTATCATCATCCTTGTTCGTATTCCGAGGATCTGGACTACAAGGACGAGCTGAAGCGTTTCGTGCGCTTCTACTCCTCCACGAGCGGCGACAACATGACCAGCCTGCCCGAGTACGTGGACCGCATGAAGGATACAGCATGGGAAGAGACGGGGGGCCGTGTTCGGGGGGAGGAGGGGGAGAACCAAGGAAGCGCAGACATCGATGAAGGCGCGTGGATTAGCAAAGGGTCTCATTTCCGTACATATCGGCGCGCTCCGTCTCCCAACCAGTCGGCGTTGGTCAAATCAGGCGGCTTTGGCGCCATGCTACGGAGGTACTTACTCCGATCCATGGGTCTGGCGCCCACGCTAATCCATGTTAGTGAGCGCTTGATTGATGTTTGTTACGGCGGAGCTGGAAACATCTATGCGGGCCGCGTCCGGTTGCGTTCCGTGCCGTGGGCTTCTGGTCATCTTTTTTCACCCGGCCATGCCAGATTGGAACAGGGGTAGTGCAACCCCTCTGATAAATCATCGCCTTAAGTTTTATTTCTGGCGCCCCGCGCGCGCCCGCCAAGGCCTTGCAGGATTCAACTATGTTTGTTTCCATCTGCTTGCGTTTCCTCGTGTTGCCGCCCAAAGTGTGGGGAGACCAAACGGTACCGATACCGCTACTCCCTGGACCTCTCCCGGGGTGCGCTCTGACCAGGATTTCGAGGCGAATCCAACGGTGGCGACGAGGGCCTCACAGGAGGCCCAACGAGGGGAAAACGGGGCGAGGGTAGCGGCATGGGTATTGCGCCTTCTTATACAGTCGTCCGCCGACGATGTATTCTCACGCCGCGGTGGCCAGGCCTGTTATCATGCTGTTTCCGAGGCTCGCGCGGGGGGGGGAGGTCGCACGGCACAGTGCGATGTCCGTGCCCCCCCTTGTTGTCCGAACAGTTTATTGCATTTGGTGCTCAGGCATGCCTTTCCTGCTTCCTCCTGCGGGAGCGGTGGCGGGCTCCCGTGGCCACGCCAAGCATGCTATGTTTTTTCCCCATATCCTAAGATGGGGTTCTTGTTATTACTTGGACGCCTCCTACTCCTCCTCCTTCCTCCTCTTTCCTCCTCCCCTCCTCATACTCAGACTTACTCATACTCAGACTTACTCATACTCAGAACTTTCTCATACACAGACCTACTCATACCCAGACTTACTCATACACAGACTTACTCATACACAGACTTACTCATACTCAGGCATACTCATACTCAGACCTACTCATACTCAGACTTACTCAACACACATCAGATTTGGAGGATGTCTCAAGCGGGGCGCTGGTTTCAGCACCCCTAAGGGGAGCCGCCAGGGGTGTTTGCACGGGCTCGTTCGCGGCCATTTTGTGGGGATGTCTCAGGCGGTTTGCTTGTTTCTGGGCTCAACATCCTTCGCTTGGAGAGCAGATTGTGAGGATGTCTCAGGCGGGGCGCTGGTTTCAGCACCCCTAAGGGGAGCCGCCAGGGGTGTTTGCACGGGCTCGTTCGCGGCCATTTTGTGGGGATGTCTCAGGCGGTTTGCTTGTTTCTGGGCTCAACATCCTTCGCTTTCGGAGCAGATTTGGAGGATGTCTCGAGCGAGGCGCTCATTTTCACCCTCCAGGTGGGCCAGATTTTGAGGATGTCTCGATCGGTTTGCTTGTTTTGGTGGCCAGGCTCGTGGCCCTAAGGGGAGCCGCCAGGGGTGGTTGCACGGGCTCGTTCGCGGCCATTTTGTGGGGATGTCTCAGGCGGTTTGCTTGTTTCTGGGCCAACATCCTTCGCTTTCGGAGCAGATTTGGAGGATGTCTCGAGCGAGGCGCTCATTTTCACCCCCCAGGTGGGCCAGATTTTGAGGATGTCTCGATCGGTTTGCTTGTTTTGGTGGCCAGGCTCGTGGCCCTAAGGGGAGCCGCCAGGGGTGGTTGCACGGGCTCGTTCGCGGCCATTTTGTGGGGATGTCTCAGGCGGTTTGCTTGTTTCTGGGCTCAACATCCTTCGCTTTCGGAGCAGATTTGGAGGATGTCTCGAGCGAGGCGCTCATTTTCACCCCCCAGGTGGGCCAGATTTTGAGGATGTCTCGATCGGTTTGCTTGTTTTGGTGGCCAGGCTCGTGGGCGCAGATTCTTCTCAGGATGCCACAGGAGGCTCCAACAGGCTCCAGGAGGCCCCAGGAGACCACATGAGGTCCCAGGAAGGAGGCCACAGAAAGATTCAAGAGGCCACAGGATGTCCCAAGAGGCTCCAGGAGGCCCCAGGAAGCTCCAGAAGAGGCCTCCAGGAAAGGCAACAGGAGTCAGAAGGCAACAGGAGTGGCTCCAATCCCATGTGTTTTACGTATGCTCCTATCGATTGGGCCTCACCTGGAGCACGATTCTTTGATGTTCTACGTATGTTTCTATATATTGTCCTTCTCCTGTGTAAGCAATCCTAATTGTTTTACTTCTGTTCCTATATATTGGGCCTCTCCTGGGGCACGAGTCCTTGGTGTTTTACGTGTGTTCCTGTAGACCCATATACAATATTACCTTTTAAAAAGGATGCACATATGGGGAGCTCCACGCAGTGAGTAATTATTGTTTTTTTTTCTCCGCGGGGCCAGACCTCGCCTTGACCACTCTGGTCGTGCATGGTACAATCAACCCGCACGGTAAGGATGGGCAACCTTGCCATCAAGCCGGGGCATTTTCAGAGTACCCGCCACGGTGGGCAAGCCGTGCTGCCTGGGCCCACCCGCTCCGCTAGGGTGTACAGAGTGGTCAGTGGCACCTCCTGGTCTGAGGTGAGCGTTGCCAGTGACGCTCGCGGAGGCAACGCCCCCCCACCATCCCGCTGCCGCGCACTCCCCTGTGCTGGCCGGGGTCGTGTGGGCCCTCCCCTCCCCCCCTAATTCGGTGCAGGTGGCCTGACCCGGGCACGGCGCGTCGGCGCTATGGACGCTCGGTCAGCGCCCGCTGGACAGAAAATGTGGGCAACGTTCCCAAGGGTACCCCTGGCATCCTTGCTTCCTCCGCCCATGCTTTTCAACTTGCGTTGGCCGCGCCCCGTTCGAAGAGCTTCGAAGTGGGCGTCGCGGGCCCCTGCATCCTTGTCGCACATCCCTGCGATGCGGGGCGACTGTGCCGCACACGGCCACGCCAAGATCATCATGGTTCTGTTCTGAGCAAGCCCCGCTGCCTGCTCTTGCCTGCCTGTTTGCCTTCCCGCCCCGTTTTTTTCTCTCGGCCCGTCCCCTGGTCCGTGGAAGAGTCGCGGAGGCCCCGGGCTGCCACGCAGGCGAGAAGCGGGAGTGCGGGACGAACCCGCCTTCAGACCTGCACGAGGCTATGACTCGGCGATTACAATTGAGAGCCAATGTCATGTTTGTCGTCGTTTCCAGCGACATTGTCATCCTCGATGTGTGCTCCACTGTACCAGAAGGAGCAACAGTGTCATGTGATTCGGTCGCATTGAGTGACAGTGTCATCCGTTTCCCGGGGGCGGGAGGGGCAGATATGACGGGAGGCAAACCGCACCCTTCGCAAACCGCACCTGTTATAGTCGCCGAGTGGCTGAGCATGTTAGAAAAATCCAGGGCAAGCTGTTGTGTTTTTTTTTCCAGTTGGCCATGTGGTGTGGTGGCCCCGCGTGGCGACACCAGCGTCTCTGTTTTCCTCTCGCGGGCCCCAGGCCACGAGCCTTATCGCGCATCATCGTGATGCGGGGCGACTATGCCCCACATAAGGCCACGCCACGATCATGATGTATTGTTCTGGGCAATATTTTATTTTTTTTCCAGTTGGCCAGGTGGTGGCCCCGTGCGTTCGGATGCAACTCCTGGGACGTCAGACTCTGATTTTGCCCTGGTCCGAAATCCGATTCAGTCCTGCTCAGTCCCGCCCCATCCGGCTTACTCCGGCTTTGTTTCAGCCTTCCCCCGTAAGGATTGGGGGAGAGAGGTGAATCAGCTTTCTTTTCTTGAGCCAAAGCACGACATGCACTTTCCCTCCCCACCTCTTCCGACCTGGCCTCATGGGCCCCGTGAGTGCACCCCCCTCAGAAATTGACCAGGGACAAGCACCTCTCTTCAAGGTCGCGGGCGAAGAGAGCGGGCAAACGGCCCTCATCCGCGGTTTTCGCCTCGGTGATCATTAGGTGTAAGGTCGCGGGATTCTTAAGGTGTCGAAGAATAGTTTTTTTTTCTTGTTTCGTTCTAGTTTTGTTTTAGTTTCGTTATAGTTTGCTTCGCGCCTCGTTCGTCATCTTCTCACCCTTCCTCCTCCTGATCATTCTCTCCTCTTCTCGTCCTCGGTGACCTGTGTCCCCTTGTGCTGTCTCACTGGTTGTCGCCGTCATGTTTTGACTTCCCTCCACATCGTCCTCTTCCTCCTCGTTTTCGTCCTCCTCCTTCTCTCTCCCTCTTGGTACTCGCGCGGCGCCTCGACCTCGATGGTGGTTTGGGCGCGTGCGTCCTATGGTGACCCACTTGCAGTCAGATTCGCTCACATTCAGAATCGCTCACGCTCATATTAATTTGCTTACAGACTCACGCATGCTCAGACTCACCCGATCGCAGACTCGACCGCGCCCATACGCAATCACAAACGCACCCACTAGCACTCAGACCCACTCCCGTTAGTATGGAAGTGTGCTCAGATTCGCTCATTCCTCGGCTCATTCCCCCCAGGGTGAACTCAATTCCCCTCCCCTACCTCATCCTCCTCCTCCTCCTCCTCCTCCTCCTCCTCGTCCTTTACCTCGGGGGCTAGGAGATTCCCCTGCGGAACCACTAGGGGTTCGCAACGGCCTCACAGCAGCCCGAGGCGGGGCTTGGCAAACCCAGAGTCCCAGAAGATATTTCGGGCCCCCTAAATACTTCGCGATTCGGTCGCCGACCTTGCCCCGAAAGGCCCCCCAAAAAGGCCCCGAAAGGTTCCCTCCACCTCCTCCACCTCCTCCTCGTCCTCCTCCTCTTCCTCCTCCTCCTCCTCCTCCTCCCCCTCCTCCTCCACTCGCGTTAGTATGAAAGTGTGTTCAGATTCGCTCATTCCTCGACTCATTTAGCATTGGTCGCAAACCGCACATGCTACGACGCTTTGTTGATGTTGCCTTCTACTGCCCGCCGCTGGGATTTTTGCTCACTTCTCACCACTTCC